CGCCCCGAGCGCCCCGCGCGCCGCGCATTCCTGGTATTGCGACAGCGCCGGCTAAAAATAGAGCGGCCGGCGGCGCCAGACCCCGCACCCCCGGCACCTACCGGGGACCGGCCCGGAGCGCTGCGGAGCTGGCTTTAAGGCGGACGCCGAATGGGAATTCACCCGGGTCTCTTTAAGAGGCTCTGTGTGCCGACCTTTAAATCTCAGCTCTGGCCCCGCCAACGAGTGACCCGATGGGCGCCTCCCCAGTCCTAGGCGGTCCCCGGGCGCCACCTTAACCGCGTTCCCTTGGAGCCGGAGACGTCTTTCTTCCTAGATCATGTCTCCGGCGTCGTTTCCCCCTGGCCCTCTGGGTGCACCGTTCTGGGGCCCAAAGTTCTTTCGGGTGGATGTGACAGGGACAGGCGACGCTCGAGCACCATTTCATTGTTTCAGTTCCGCTAACTCCTTCCAACGGAGTCATTTTTCCCCGTTTAAAAAATTCACATACCATAAAATTCCACCTTTTCAAGTGTAAAATTCCGTGGTTTTTAGTATATTCACAAAATTGTGCAACCATCAGCATGATCTAATTTCAGAACATTTTCATCACCACCTCCAAAAAAAAACTGTACCCATGAGCAGTCACTCCTCATCCTGCCCTGCCCCCAGCCTCTGAAAACCACTAATCTACTTTCTGTCTCTATGGATTTGCCTATTCAGTACATTTCCTATAAATGAAATCATACAACATGTGGTCTTTTGTGACTAGCATAGCGTTTTCACGGTCCATACTTACGAGTACTTCATTCCTTTTCCTGACTGAATAATATTTCATTGTATGTGTATACGGATATTTTGTTTACCCATTCATCAGTTGATGGACATTTAGGTTTTTCCACTTTGGGGCTATTGTGAGTAAAGCTACTATGAACATTCGTGTCTTTGTATGGACATATGTTTTCACTTCTCTTGGGTGTATACCTAGGAGTGGAATTCCTGGGTCACACGTTAACTCTATGTTTAACTCTTTGGGGAATTGCCAAACTGTTTTCCAAAGCAGCAGCAACTTTTTACATTGTATGACGGTTACAGTGTATGACGGTTACAATGTCTCCACATCCTTGCCAACACTTGTTATCATATGTCTTTTTTATTACAGCTGTCCTAGTGAGTGTGAAGTGCTATCTCACTGTGGTTTTTTTATTGAGTGTCATTTTTTTTTTTTTTTTTTTTTTGGACTGGTAAGGGGATCTCAACCCTTGGCACAGTGTGGTCCACACCACGCTCAGCCAGTGAGCGCACCCGCCATCCCTATATAGGATCCGAACCCGCAGCCTCGGCGCTACCAGCGCTGCACTCTCCGAGTCAGCCACGGGGCCGGCCCATGAGTGTCATTTCTGAGGACAGTCTTTTTGTGGATGGACCTTGATGACCTGGAAGCAGCTTTACACATCCACATCCAGGAAACACACTCCCTTCCCTCCACCCCAGGCTTAAGGGGACCTCACTGCCCTGAGTCCTGCATGCCATCATGCTACGCTGAGGTTCTCAATTTGTTTTGGGGTTTTTTTTGTTGTTTTTGCTTTCGCTTTTGGCAGCCGGCCAGTATGGGGATCCAAAGCCCTGACCTTTGTGTTACAAGGCTGTGCTCTAACCATCTGAGCTAAATGGCCAGCACCCCCAGGTTCTCAATCTGATTCAGGCTTCCATTGGCATCTCAACCACCCATGCAGCCATTTACTGAGAGCTGTTGTGCACCCCAGAGTTCAGGGGAGTCCCCAGGGCAGGGGAGAGCAAGTAGATTGGGTGCCATTGAGAGTGTCACACCTTGGCAATAGGGAGTAAAAGAACTGATTGGGGACGGGGCTAGAAGGACAGAAGTTCACCTTGACTGGCTGGGTCTTGCCCTGGAAACTGCTTTTTCCTCCCTCTTCCATTTCCCACAGGCCTTGGGGGAGGTGGGCTAGGGTCTGTGCATCCTGGTTGTCTGTCTGTCAGCCCTCATGGGCTCCCTCTGTCAAGAGACATCCTCTCCTGGGCCCTGACCTGCAAAGTAGCCTTACTGCTGCCCTCGGCTTGAGCAGACAAGATCTACACACGAGTCAAAGAGCTGTCTTTATACTGCTTTCATACACAAATCTTTAATAATATGTCTTCTCAGAAATGGAACATAAACAGCTAGGAGTCATACCCAGGAATTTGGGATTCTCTATCAGTGGGATTAAACCCTGCAGGTTGTGAATGGGGACAGGCTATCCCATTTAGACTGCCTCCTCTGCTTTTTGAATCCTGAAATAAAGTTGTGGCTGAGTTGCTGGCAAATAGGGGCTTTAGAGAACAGGGTCACTGAGCAGAAAGGTGAGGTCTGGGTTTGATAGTTCATTCATTTGGTAAACACTTCCAGAACATCTACTGAGTGACAGGCACTGGGCAGAGAGCTACCTCCAAGCAAACTGAGTGCCAACCAAGGGGTAAGCAGTGTGGAGGAGAGAAGCAGAGGGGCTGGGCTGTGGGAGCCCAGAGGAAGGGCACCTAACCCAATGTGGGGAGGGGGCCAGTGCCCAGGGCAGGATTTCTATGATTGCTGATATTTAAGTCAGGTCTGGAGGGAGGAATAGCAATCAGGTAGGCTGAGAAGGAAAAGAGAAAACCTTATATGCTGAGGCATGATTGAGCTGAAGTCTTTCCCCAAACTCCAGCAGATCTGCATGTGTTTGAGGCATGATAACAGGCCATACTCCTGGCCAAGAACCCAGGCAAGGCTCAGGCCCAAATTTCATGCCTGAGGTTCAAGGCCAGCCACTGGGCCAGGAACCAATGCCTGTAATAGGGGAAAGGTCAGAACTGCTGGACTGACCCACAGCAGGATTCCCCAGCTAATGACAAAGCAGATGTGTTTCAACCACTACAATTTGTCCTGCGCTCGCCTCTCTGCCCCAAGGCTTGCTGAGTGCCACGCCTCAGAGCATACCCATGCTGGTGCCCAGTGGTTCAGTGGGCAAACCTGGGGGCCTGGGGACTTTGGGGCCAGAAGTCAGCCAGATCATTGTGGCCCAACCTTCCTCTACAATTCCCAGCCTCAGAGTGATCCCTGGTGATCCCAGAGCTCCCAGCTCTGAGCACTTACGGTGTGTCAAACACTGGCCACTGTGATGGGAGTGCACACCTCCCAACAACCCAGTGCTGAAGGCCTCTCCAGCCTGTTTTAGACATAAGGAGACTGTGAGCCCAATCCCACACAGCTGGTAGACAGACAGTCAGGCTCTTCTGATCACAAAGCCTATCTTCTCTCCCCTGTGCCGGAGCAGGTCAGTTGTGTGTGTTTGCTTGGTATTTGGGAAGCAGGGAGAAGGTGGATAGGAGACGAGCACTCATTCCAGTTAGTCTCTTCAGGCCTGTGGCTGGAACTTGATCTTTGGGTGACTCTGAAGCACCAACCCTTGGCCAGCAAGAGAACCTTGCCTCACTCCCATGCTTGTTCATCCCCTCAGCTGAGCTCTTTTCTGTGCCAGGTATGAGGCCTTTCTTCCCCTGGGCTGCCCATGATATTGCACCAAGAACTATGCAGTCTGCTCTCAGGGTTTTCATGGCCTTTATTAATCCCGGTCCAGTCACTTCTCATCTTTAGCCCTCCCTGCCAGTCCCTCTGCACCCACCACCTCCTCCAGTCTCACTCAGACCAAGGCCTCAAAAGGCTTTCTTCTCTGATGCTGGTATTGGTTCTGCAGACATGGTCAAGTAAAAAGGAGTGGTGTGGGGGGAGTGATCACTGGGGTACGGGCTGTTAACTGATGTCTCTGGCCCACACAGCTAGTGCTGTGTCCTGTTGGGAGTGGGGGACAGCTAACTGTTTAGACGGCAAATTTGTTGTCTTCTGAACTAAAATAATGTAACTGTTTATTACTTCCCAAATCTTGGGGAGTCACGTTAATAGGACTATGAGTCTTTTGAGTAACTTGCATTTACTCAAAATCTTACATTTTTAGTAACTTACATTTGATAAAAATGACAGCATTGAGAATAAAACATGATTTTTAAAGCATCAGACATCTTTCTTCATTGAAAAAAAAAAATGCTTTAATGAGCATTTCCTGGAAGCTGATAAGAGGTTGAGCTTGGATGGGAGCTGTTCCCTGTAACAAAAACAATGCACCCTGGCCTCACAGTGGGGGATATTCCCTATGACTTTCTGCAACCCATAGCCTGGGACCAGCTTCCTGAACATCTCTTCTCAGTAATTACCTAGCCCCAGCTTGTAAAACAGTGGAAAAATTTCCATCACTCATAGTCACATGTTTTCATGAGTCTTAGTACTTGAAATACCAAGTCAGAGAAAGAAAATTGCCTGGATGCTGAACCTGAAATGCAGGGCTTGCTCATTTCAATTTAGCCCAATTGTCTGAAATCCCATAGCCTCACCCCTGTTGACAAATAAGACAATTAGAAAACAATTTTAGGGCCGGCCCAGTGGTGCACTCGGTAGAGGGCGGCGCTCCCGCCGAGGGTTTGGATCCCATATAAAGACCAGTCCGCTCACTGGTTGAGCGTGGTGCGGGCGCAACACCGAGGGTTGTGATCCCGTTACCGGTCATGAAAAAAGACAAAAAGGAAAAAAAAAAAAAGAAAACAATTTAAAAATCCTTGATAGAACTTTAAGATACCATTTTTACATTAAAGCTAATATAGATATGGTATGTAGTATGTTTCAAAATGCATACAAATCTTTGAGATAAATATTATTGAGGTTTAGAGATCCCTGAAGGTCAGTTAGCATTAAGCCCTCAAATCGCTGGGGCAGCCGTTCAGGAAGCTTCAGGGGAAGCACGGGAGAAGTGTAGTCCTTGGTAATGAGGTCTTTGTGGCTTGACTGAGATCCAGCTTTGTCTCAAAAGCTTCTTTTGTTGGCCCAAATAGATGGGCAAGAAGTTCTAATAGGAGGTTAGAATGACATGCTCTCTGATCTCCCAGAGGAGCCTAAAAAACCAAGGGACAAAGTTCATTACCTCTCTGGAAGTGTCAACAACTGTGAAGCCGGCCGGCCCGTGGCCCACTTGGGAGAGCATGGTGCCGACAACATCAAGTCAGGGGTAAGATACCCTTACTGATCATCTTTAAAAAAAAAAAAAAAGAACTATGAAGCATCTGAGATTTCATCCCACTTGCAAGCTAACAAGTGGAAGTTTCATGGATGTTGGCTGAATACATGAAGCCCCAGGGTCAGTGGTGAAAGATAGTTTACTACTCAAAGCAATGGCAGTAGCTAGGGTTTTAGCATTTTTGCATGGGTTTCCTGAACCCAAATTCCCGCAGCACAATGCAAAGAGGGCCAGGTAACACCTGCAACCGAAGTGGGTTGTGTTACAGAGGAAGAACCCTAGGTTCAAGAAACCAAAGCTTTCGTACTGGAAAGAATGCTTTTGTACTGGAAAGAATGCTTTCTATAGAGGGAGACTCAATCTTCCAAGGTTGTAAGCAAACCTTTCCTTGCTTTAGAAGGAGATACTATCTTTTCTTTCAAAGCTGTTCACTGAATAAACATT